TGCAGTCATGTCATTCCCCCAGGGTTGTACTGTTGGACATGAGATGGAGAGCCAGAGCGGGAAGGCTGGAGCGCGCCAAAACAGAAAACCAAAATGATTGAAATTCAAGCCACCTACAGCCAGAGCCAGAGCGGGACGGAGGAAGAGACTGAAGGATAGACTGAGATAGAGAGGGGGACAGAGCTACCTAAACAAACAAACCCAAAATAAAGCAAAGCAAAATACAATTTTTGCATACATATTTTCACCTTTTAAATGCGTATCGGTAGCTTTTGCTGCTGACAATACCGTCTTTCGGTATTTAGGCCAACCTCAGCCTAACGTGTTGGCGAGGGCGAGGGTGGGGGAGGTGGCGGTAGAGGTAGAGGTAGAGGTAGAGGGCAGGGCTCTGGCCAAATTAGCACTTGAAGCTAGCCAGAAATGTGTTAAAGCAAAATGGAAATCTCGATCGCACCTGAACATGAAATGCAAAGCAACAGACAAACATACATACATATGTACATACATACATACAACACGGCAGCAACCCAATACGAAAAGAATTACAGCAGAAATGCCCCAAAACAGAAACAAAAACCGATTCCAAGCCACACACACATGCATACTCGTACAGCGTACGTACGGTAAAAGCGAGTGGGAGCTCCCACTAGTGGGACAACGACGCGCGCACACACACACACACACACACAGACACACACAAGGGAGAGCGGTCTGCCTGGAAGAGGGAGGAGTGGGACCGAGGGAACACACCGTTGGACCGCGGACGTTGGGGTGAAAATTAATTGGGCCCATTTCGAAGTCTTGATTTGCCTCGATTCGGTCTCGTGTTGTTTTTTTTTTGTCTTGCGTTTTTCAATTATTTCTTTGATTGATTCTTCAATTGTGGCAATTAGCCAACAATTTTGCTTAGCATGCGCCACGAATGCGGCGAAAATGTGCAGCAAAGCAGCAAAGGCAAATCAAAGAAGAAAGACAAAGACAACGACAAAGACAAAGGCGAAGACGAAGACGAAGAAAGAGGCCAAGCTACAATCAGTTTCGGATTCGGCTGCTATCGGATATCGCAAATCGAAATCCACATTTATTGCTTGGTTGGTTTCGAATGATGATGGGTAATGCTCAGCGTCAGAGATTTTCGATCAAAAATCATTTTATCACAAAAAGTGACAAAAAGTCTTCGACTGATATCCGCCAGACGGTACTAAAGACGGGTCCCAACACTAAAACTGGCCAAGTCTAATGTTATAACACCATAATAACTAGAATGCGAAATAAGTTTGCCCACACTGATTGATCGGGCATACTCATGTACATAAATTTGCATATACATACATTCATATGTACATATGTATGTATATCTATGATATCATACGCAAAAGGAATTTACTCTGGGCTTACGATTTGTATGCATGTTTTGAGGGTACATCAGCACAGTCGTTCAAGAGAGTGCTTGCTTTCAAAGAAGTTAGCCTTCAATGTTGTGGGAACAGCTTGTTGTCTTTTAGACAATTGTCTTTTAGTTCACAATACAAATTTAGAAGTGAAAACGATCAAAGGAGTTAACCAAGCCTAATTTTGTGCATCGAATAGCTATCCCCTAAAAAATATCGGCACAAAGACACAAAGACAGGAATAAGAAAATTCGGCAAATAAAAATTTGATCCTGCCTATCACTTGGCACTAGTGGCTGAGAAAATATCTTAATTTATCTGCTTCTCCATGAATCCTCATCATTAATTGAATCATTAATCAAAATGGCTTAGCTATAATGAACTACATTCATAATATTGCATTTCCAACACCCAAGCCACGAATAAATCGGCTCGCATCGCATCTAGTTAAGCTCGCGGACAGGTTGCGTTGCCTGGCCTATGCGGCGTATAGGTAATGTCGCAGTCGTGAAAATTTGAACGACTGTACATACATATGTATGCACATGTCCACTTAATGGGTATCGATCTCATGCCATTGGGATGCCAGGCCCGTCCGCGTCCGTGTCTGTGTCCGCGTCCGTGTCTGTGTCCGTGTCTCCGGACTGTCTGACATATTTGGGTTGAATGCTAACAGCAAAAATGCTCAAAAAGAGACGAGGCGAAAACAAAGGCAAAAAGGCAGACACACAAACTAAACTCCAACTCAAGCTTATGAATGTCTGAGCCTGACCACAGCCAAATCTGCAAAGCAAATGTCGCAATTAACATACACAATCTCATACGAGTATGTGTGTGAGTGAGCACACATACTATATACTATATACTATATACTATATACTATATACTATATACTATATACTATATACTATATACATGCTATATATGTACATATATACATACATGACTACATACATACATATATACATATATACATATATACATACATATGTAGCAACTTACTCGCACTCGCATTATAACATGTTGGCCATTGAACAAACAGGGGCGTGGTGCACGTTGCTTGGAGAACAATATTCGCAAGATTCTGGTCGATGAGCTAAGTATGTTAAATAGTTATCCTGAGAGGTAATCATTGTCTTCTGCCTCTGAGACGGACACTGCCTTGGAAACGGAGTGGATCGAAACCTGTATAGTGTATTGATGAAGAATAAAAACCGTTTATTCAGAGCACCTCTCAGATTTTGAGAGAGATTTCTGTCCAAGCAAAACATTTCAGAAAAAGTAAAAGATCAGGAACTCTTGTGTATTCTCGAAAATTTCCAAAAGCTACTAAATGAATACTCGTGTATTCATTTTGGCCGGCGGTCTGAGCCATCGTCGGGCAAACAATGATGTGGTTTTATGTGACATTTATTTAGCGCAGTGTCGAGACCTCAGCATGAAATCAGTCGCAACGTTTTGATTCGCTGCAGACCTGGTAGAATAACTGGTACTCCGCTTCATAGTACGAGTAAATGTATCTGCATTGATGTATCTCTATGAAAAAAGTCAAAACACCTTAATCCATAGCTTGAGGGTGAAAAGTACGAGTACACATCTCACTAAGTAGGATAGAGCTAGCGGTAAATAGAAAAAGAAAGAGAAAGAATGCGGTATCCAAATCCAAATCCAAAGATTGTATCTTCTGCTACTGTAACTGCTGATTGACAGTCGTTAGAACTGCCGCACAGTTGACATAACTGCAGCACACAAGCGCTTGCGCAACCTTTCGATGATCACCAAGGCTACTCCACGGTAACCATTTCTCAGGATGCAGGCAGTCCGGCACTGAGCATTGAGATATGAAGAAGACCACCAACTTCAGAACATATGGTTTATTGGAGTACATAGGTATCTCGTAGGATACAACTAAATTTGTGTCCTCTGTCGAGCGCAGGATGTTGGGGTATGGCCCAGATGTTCTCCGTCATCTAGTTCCAGGGACGCCATTAACCCTACAACGTGTCACCATTTTCGGCCGCATCGACAAGAACGGACAGGCGGCCGTTTTCTTCGATTGCATCGGCAATTTCCAGCAAGAAGGCAGCCCATGCTGTGGTGTGGGGTCAACCGGCGACACACAGCAGCCGCAGCTGGATTGTCAGACTGGCTTCCCTAAGAAGATCTCCTTGCACGTGGTTACGACTGCCGTTGCTAACCAAGCAGCGTGCCCTGGCCATCGCAAAAGCTGCCTTCATCACGGGCGCCCAGTGTGGTTGTCAGTGTAATTACGAAGGATAGCATTGAGGTCGAGGGGATGGAGTCAGCTCCTTGCTCAGGCAAGGCTTTCTTTCAATCGAATATCATTTGGAGCCGCTGTCGTTTGTTTGCTGGGTGGATTCCGTTGATAGTTTATTTGGTGACGCAACTCGGGGTGGATGCACCAGTGCCGCATTGTGGCTTGACCAAAAGCGATTCCGATTCCACTTCCGCTGCACCGCCTCGCCGCCTCACCGCTTCCTCGCCCAAATACCGACCCCAGTGCGACTGCCAAAAGCAGCAACTGCAGCAGCACATACTCGTATGGCCAACCCATTTCCGCATGTCAACTGTGGCCCTGCTTCACTCCCTGCCTCGCCCCAAAGCACATTGGTGAAATTTTCCAAGCGGGAGGAAGCCCGCTTCCAAGCCCCCGGAACCTGGATGGGGTCCAAAAGCGGCTTTGAAAATATCCCAGTCGACTAACTGAGCCGCGGACCCAGTGGTTGGATGGGGGATCCGGATCGCCGATCTAAAGAATTCGTGGCATATATCACAGCTGACTCCGTCTCCGTTTCTGATACTGACTCTCCACGGAGCTGAGAGCTGTGGCTGCGGCTGCGGCTGCTGCTGCTGCTGAGTGTGCTCCAACTTTTACTTTGGTTCATTCTCCACCTACTTATGCATGTGCAGATGTACATATATATGTACATATTATGTGTTCCATCGGTGGCGCATGCAGTGAAAAGCTAAGAGGAACCTAGACATAGTTTATTTCCAAATGCATGGAAGACTTGCTCGCACTGGACACGCCTCGCTGGTCGCATTCGTGTCGTGTCCGTATCCATGTGTGGAGCGTCATAGATACCATAGACATTCGTTCCTCTGCCACCTCTGCGCTCCTCCCGAGCGAACTTTTCGATTTCTGCAAGGGTTTCGGAAGATAGATGGACAGCCAGATGAGTGAAGAGAAGAGAAGCGTTACAGTAAATTGTTAAAAAGTTTGAAGAAAAATGTGCAATAATTAAAGCGTCTTATGTGAAAACGAAAGAAAAACATTGCAAGGCAAGCGTTAAGTTGTTACCTGATGCGTCGGCAGCCTAACGAGTATTAATTAAAGTGAAAATGCCATGAGATCGACATGGCTATGGATATAGATATGCAGCCCATGCTCATATCCATACCCATACCCATACCCATACCACAATAAGGAAGAGTGTCCGATCTAGAAAGTTGTAGTAAATGCAATAAGGGAATAATAATAATAATAAATAATACTAAGTAATAAGTCATGCATCTCATGATATAATTTTAGAAAAGATACTCGTTGTCTGACAATTATAATATTATATCTCTATACTGAATTTCCAGAGATGTCATAATGGAGCCAATGACCATGCTGGTGTTGGCCTTCCAGCTGCTGGCCCTCTTCTCGATCGCCGGTGCGCTACTCATCTACCTAATCTGCAAGGTGCGCGAGGACAGCGAGGCGGCTAACGTGGAGGCCCAGCCGAGCCGGGTGGTACTGGTGACGAGTGCGGACACCGCCCTGGGACTGCAGCTGTGCACCCACCTGGCCAACAAGGGGTGCCGCGTCTTCGCCGGTATGAAGGAGGCCCACGACTCGCTACCCGCCAAGCTCCTCTGCGGTTGGATGAAGATCCGCGAGTACAGCGAAGAGCCCATCGCTGGCACGATCATCCCTATGCGTCTGGACGTGACCCGAGAGGATGTGCTGCGCGAGGCCACTGTCGCCATGGGCGCCCACCTGAACGCCGACGAGCGGGGCATCGCCGCCGTGATCAACACCAGCGGTAGCGTGTTCCGGGGACGGGTCGAGTCGCAAGACGTGCAGCAGTGGGAGCACATGCTGAAGACCAACATCCTTGGCACGTTGCGTGTGGCCAAGGCCTTTGTGGGGTTCCTCCGGCCCACGCGCGGTCGCCTCCTTTATCTGGGCGGAGCCAGCGGCACGCGGACGGGTTCCGCGCTAACGGGCGGCGAGGGTTTGGTGGCCTTCAATGCATCGCGCGTGGCTGTGGAAAAGTGCGCCGAAGAACTGCGGAAGGAGCTGCAGCCGTACGGCGTCAGTGTGGTGGCGCTGGACACCTGCGGAATGACAGCCGAGTCCCTATACAAGGCCCCTGTAGCACAAAGTGAGTTGAAACCCTGCACCTGCAGCTCCATTCCCTAGCTTCAGTTTACATTATCTTTCATCTCTTCCACAGCGATGTCAGCGAGTGCCGAAGCACCTACTCAGTACACGGCGGACGTGCTCAGCCACAGTGCCCTGCAGGTGATCGAGCGGGCGCTGTGGGACTTTGCCCCGCAGGAGCGCTATACGCTTCTCACCCAAAACAAGTACCAATTCACATTGCCATGCCGCTCTTCGTTGCGTCTCCAGCGGCCGGCAGTTTCAGGCGAGTCTGCGACGCAATCTGTGTAAATCCGATCCGCCTCGGTCTCTACCTTCAGCTCCAGCTGCCTCCTGTACATACGTATCCCCGCTGTAACCTCTTCTCCTGCTCCTGTTGTCGTCTAACAACACTAACCATGTTTTTTGTTTAATGATATTTCTTCCTTTGGAAGGATTTTTATACATATGATATATATATTTTCACTCGTTTTTGCATACAATTTGACGGTGCATTTTTCATGGACAACATACCTTAGCACTGAATGATACGAACAATGAAAATAAATCTTTGTGCTAATCTACGATGGGCTTTGGAGTCCTTACTAACATTCGATTGGTTTAGGAATTCTTGTGGTCTTAGGGCTATCGATGGATTCGGTGAAACGGGAGGTCCACTTACTCATACTTGGATATGAAGTCGTAGCGCAGCACGGAGGCGGGATAGGACTCGCCGGCACTTGCCTTGAAGCACTCGGAGCTGCGTGCCGGTAGGTGTACAAGCACGTCGGCCCCTGCAATGCTCTGCAAACGGCTGCTGATCTATAAATAACAGTGGGAGTGGAGTGTCATTCTGATGAAGAAACTGTCAAAAGGCGTGGGAGAAAATTTACCTGATTTCCATTGACGCTAGCATAGAGTTGACCGTTTTTGGAGGTCACCGAAGCACGGACGTACTCTGGACGTCGATCCAAAATGTGGTCTTGAGACAGCTGTCAGAGAAAGAAAGTAGTTATTATTAGACAATCCATTCAGACAATGTTGGGTCGCCCTTAGAAGAGTATTCACAAGGTTACTAGGCCCTTGCTTACTGGCTCAACCACCTTCTCCTTATCAGCACTCAAAACATAACACTCAAAACTCATAACAAACAGATAAGGCCCACTCAGAAGCAAACGTATATGGTGAATGAAGTGGACTGGGCTTTGACGCTTCTGCGCCGACAGATACGACCTACAGCAATTTATGCATGTTCTAGAACTAGCAAGTCAGCGGGGGACAGCCAATCAACACCTCTACCCACTCTGACCGAATAGTTTGTAATAAGCAGGCGTCCTCAATTTCGCCATCTGTTTAAATGACTGTTGCGCAATCTCGTACCTTTACTTGAATGGTCGCCAGGGGACACTTGGTTCTCTCCCAGCCGGCGGCCCAGCGGATGGCTGGGAGCGCAAACAGATGGAATGTGACAAAGGCGGATACGGGGTTCCCCGGCAGTCCAAAGAAACACATGTTATCCTTGCTGGCAAAGGTCATGGGCTTGCTGGTGGTGGGAGAAAAGAATTCTTTAGTGCGAGAGTTGGAGGAGATGGGCCAAGGAAACAAACCCATACCCAGGCTTCATGTTGACCCGGCCGCAGTGGATCTTGAAGTTGAGTTCCTCCAGCGCTGTCTTTATAAAGTCCTTGTCGCCCATTGAGACGCCGCCAGTAGAGATGACAAATTCCACCTTTTCAAAAAGTTGGACTAGAGATCTTTTGGTCTCCGGTAAGCTGAAGGAGAATGTTTAATGTCAGTCAGCCAGGAGGAGCGAATTAACGCCACTTACTTGTCGCTCAGCACAACGGTGCGTACGCAGTTGAAGCCAAAATAGAGTAGCAGCTCCTCCAGCATCGTGGCATTAGAGTCGTAGACCTTGCCAGGAACAGGCAGCTCACCCGGCGCGAGCAGCTCGCTCCCCGTGGAGACGAGGGCCACCTTGGGCTTGGGTAAGCTCTTAGATATGCCCACAGAGGACAGTAGAGACTGAATGACAACGGGTGAAGAATCCGTAATAGGGAAAATGGAATCGTGGATGCGCAAATCGTGACCAATGGGACTGAAGGCATTAGATCGGAGTAAGATAAGTTATTCATGCTCTAATGAGTAGTACTCACCGCACATCCAATTCCGGCTTTGGCTCCACCATAATTTCTACTAGACTCTCTTCTCCATGTTTGTCGCGACTCACCAAAAGGGTATCCTCCACTTGGACCACGCAGTCCGCTTGGTCTGGCAGTGGGGCACCCGTATTTATCTTGAAGCACTCATCCTCTTGCAGAGGCTGTGCGCAGGGCTGTAGAAGGAAATAGTTAGGATTAACACTTCTGGCTCTGCTTGACATGATGTGGGTACTTACCGCATCACCGGCGGCAACGAAGCCTACGACACGCTTGCTGCCGGAGAAGCCAGTCGATTTCATGGCATAGCCATCCTTGATAGAGGCACGGAAGGGTGGTATATTCACCGGCGAGGTCGTTTTCCAGATGTCATCTTCCAAGCAGGTAGTGCGTTGCACCACTCCGAATATGATATCCATGACCACCGAGATGGGGAGCATGGGAAAGGGCGAGTGGCGATCCCTGCCGTCTCCAACTCCTGTCTGGTGAGGGCAGACGTGAATTTGGGCCTCCACCGTCTCCGTACCCTGCACCTGGGCATGGGTGCGTTGCACCAGGGCCACGTCGTCGTTGATCAGATGGAGTGCATGGGGCAGTAAATCCTTCACCGTTCCAAAGCATTCGGCTACTGCCTTTTCGCTCCCGGGGAAGTTCAGGATCAGTGTATTGCCAGCGATGCCACAAACTCCGCGCGACAGAGCCGCAAAAGTCGTCTTTTTCAGCGAGGCCAGGGTTATGGCCGTCATCAATTGTGGGCACTCCTTGTCGAGCAGCGGCTTAGTGGCCTCGGGGGTCACATCGCGTGGGGCCAGACCGGTGCCGCCCGTGGTAAAGATGATGCGAACCTCCTCCCTGTTGATCCACTGACGCAGCTCGCTCTGAATGAGGCTGTTTTCGTCGGGCACCACGCTGGCGACTACCTGCGCATTTCTGAAGGCCTGCATGATCTGAGACACCAAACGCGGACCGCTGCGATCCTTCGAGCGGTCATTGTAACAGGTGTCACTGACTGTCACACATGAGAAATGTTATTGGGGCCCGCTGGGTTAGGAAGCCACTTACTTGTTAAAACACCGAAAGTAATTGGATCCATTATGTCATTGGCATTACTTTGCGATTCCGAGTTATAGCTTATGTCTAATGTCGACGGCACGTTTGCAATTAAATTTTGAGAAAAGCGTTTGGCACGATACTTTCGACTGCTGGAACGTGTTGGCTTTTAGCATTTTTTAGGACATTTCGACATTGCGACCAATCCGGTAGGTGTGCACACACTGCCGCTGCCGTTTAATTTAATATATAATGAATGTTTCCTTAAAGTCGCAGAATACTAATATGCACAGCCAAAACTACTTAGATATATAAATACTTGAGCCATCTCCCATGTGTAGACCATATATGTAAATAGTTTGTATTTTTTTTCGTTAATATATACTACACTATAACGATAAAAAAAAATAGCGTAACAACCGATCGACTAAAAATGACCCGACCCATGCCGGTGCCGGCTTTTATTTCGCTGTCTTCTCGCCTGTGGCACGCTCCTCCAGCGGGTCGTAGCCGGTGGCCATCTTTTCCTTGAACTGCTCGTAAGTACGTTTGCGGTCAAAGTGCTTCACCCACTGGCCGGGGCAGGACTGCTCGAAGGCCTTGCGCAAATCTTTACAGGCGTTGGGAACTTTTTCACCGCTCGTGGAGCTGTGCTTGGGCGCACTGGCGTCCAAGCACTTCCAATACTCGTCCCGCGTGGTCCAGCACTTGGCTCGCTCTGCCTTATCCGGAAAACCCATTGTCAAGGTACTTTGTTGTGAATCGCTTTGGTCCAGTCACGTCCCGTTCGCCGTTGTCGTAGTTTTGCTTGTTATGCGACTATCCCTGTTACCTGTGGGAAGAGCTCCGACATTTAAAGTTCGGGGCAATAGGTTACTTGGCGGTGGGATGCCGGAGCAATGCAGTTACACAGCTAAAATTGATTTAATCACATTAAAAGTCAATTTCCAGGAAAAATCACCATCTCATCACAGAAACTAACCTCCAACCTCAAAATTACAAAACAAACAGATTTATCGATAAAATATACCGAAACATACTGTAAATATACTACTTGAGTGAAACCACTAACCATACAGTATATAGATGTGCCAGTTCATGCTACGAAAGCGTCACACGAGTTACCGGGTTACCGTCTGAGAACCCCAGAGACTTCGGCTCGGGGCTTCGGGTACTGACGCGTCATTATGAGAGAACGCAGAGAGAACATCTTTGCATGTGCAATATCCCAGCAAACAATGTACTATGGTCCGAACGACCGTTTTTGTTGGCCAAAATTAATAACTCCCGACGGAACAAGATTTTTTTATTTAGTTTTTTGTATTGGATATATATATAATCAAAAGGAAGTGGATTTAAGAAAAAAAATGGGTGTGGCGCCGCCCTTTTTTTAATAATGCATATTTAAATGATTAGTTATAGTGAAAAAAAAACGTATTAAGCATAATTTATTTAAGAAAACGGCGTTGCACGCTTACAAAAATTTCGATTTAAATAAAAATAACATTGCTTAAAGGTTTCCGTAAATTATTACTGAGATCCTTGTCTAGAAGCGAGGTTAACGCCTCGTTAGGTGAGATATGTGCCGGCTTTCCGACTGGGTCCTGTACAGCCTTACGAACTTAGTTAGCATTCTCTGGGCATAAAGATAAAAGTGTTGAAATAAAGGCTTGTGGCCAACCCACATATTTTCGTACAAACATCTTTGAATTTGACCGGCATTTGTTCCGTTATGTTGCCAAACGATAACAAATTTTCTTGCTGGTATCCTCAAAAGCTTTATTAATTTCATATGATATGTCGCCTTAAGAGCCGTTTTCAAATAATTGATAATTTTACCCTTATCTGAATTCCATACGCAAATTTCAATAATTGTGGTGAAAAGAGGCATTTCTTACTATATACATACACTAACCATACAGTATATAGATGTGCCAGTTCATACAACGAAAGCGTCAAACACTGGCTAGCGCGTTCAGTACCCCAGAGTGACGTCATCATGAGAGAGAGAGCGCAGAGAGAACATCTTTGCATTTGTTAGTACACACGCAATATGTTTCGACAAAAATATGTGATTGTATGCTTTTTCAGATTTTTTGAACTCTCTCAGGTCTGGTTCTGTTTAGTGTATGGGTGCACATGCATTCTCACGTACTTTGCGTGTGTGTGTTTACTATTGCTGGCCGCTAGAACTGAAATTTGAGTTTGGTTCTAGTTTTGGGTCTTTTGATGGTCTGACCTACCGCCACAAAATAAATGAAGAATGGGCAGGGGGTGGGGGTATTGTACACTAGGGCGCGGGAAATAAAATAAAAGCTGTTATTTGTTTGATTTATACCACAAAATATAAAATATTACAATAATATAATTACATATTTATTTCCTTATTTCAAACAGGATTATTATAAATTATAAAAATTATGCAATTATGCAAATTATGCAAAATATAATTGCACATTTATTTCCTTATCTTAAGCAGGTTTATTATAAATTATAAAAATTATGAAAGCGCCGTCGGTTCTCGACTTTTTTGTTTATTATAACTAAAACAATGATGTATCTAAATATACAATATAAGAAAATATAGATATATACTTAAATAAATATGCATAAATATATATGGAATTGGTTTTATATATATTTCAAATCAATTGTCAATTGCGCGCTTTCCGACGGGAATCTGCAAAGCAAAAATTTAGATGCCGGTCGCACCTTGAATACTCTCATGGACAATACCCATACATTTTCTAATTCATTTATAAAGACAACATTAAGACAACAGTAATTTTACCCTCATGCAATATACGAATGTAATAATCTTTAATATTTATGTACATAACATATTTTATATATACTGTATACTTGTATGTATATACTGTATGGTTAGTGATACATATCAACAAGAATTTATTAATCTACGACACACAAAAGGTTTCAGGGTGGGACTAGGTAGGACTCACTTTGTACACCTTTTCAAAAATTAGTTTTCATTACAAGTTGGCACATGTTGAAGGCCTCACTTTAACCTTCAATTACGAAGACTACTACTAGATACAGTTAAAAACTCAAGACACGTAATAAGAACCCGACTGATTAAGATTCATTAAAAAAATGTAATCAGGTCTTGGCGTTTTTCAATTTTTGAGAGATCTAAAATGGTTATTAATATGGCGTTTTTTTACTTCACGTGCTTTACGATAAAAACAGTTGGGTTGCTCAGCTGATTTTGCGAATGTGGCGCCATCTATGGAAATTTCTGGTACGCAGCCTTAATGGACACTCTTTTTCTAATGCAGAGTGATCAAAACCAAGTTTTAGTTTTGAATTTTAAAAATTAGGTTTTGGCCAACAAAAGTGGTCGTTCGGACCATAGTGCAATGTTTCGACAAAAATATGCGTTTGTATGCTGATGCTGGATTAATTTCTGTTCTCTGTTGTGTCTCCAGTGTATCCCTTCAGTACGATGACATCGATGACTCAGCTGCTGACACGTCGATGAACGCATCACTACCCGCGATGACATAGTTGATGACCGGCCATACGCTGAGCTGTTTACTTTAACATGGAGATGACCTAGGGCATAATCGATGACATTGTCATCGAGCATTGCCGAAAAATCATGCACTTAATAAGTGATGATTTTTCACGAAAAATCATGCATTTAATATAAAAAAGTAATACATTCAATTGTTTTTTTTTTTCAATAAGTTTTATTTATTAAAAATTATTATTAATTATTGTTTAAGCATGCCAGAGCTTTGTATTTTTTGTCCCTTGCGCCCTTTTGAAAGTAGCTTTTCTTAATATTGTGAATAGCCTTCCTAATCACTTTATCTGCTGGCTCGTTGGGTATTTTCATCTTCACCGCCGCTGAAATAATATGGATATGTTAGGTTAGGTTAGGTTCAGGCGGTAGCCTGGGGGAGTGATGAAACCCTCCCAAGCTCACTTGGACCTGTAGAAGGTCCGTTGTGGTGCCGCATGGGCGTGTGCCCCTTCCCAGTGCCTAAAAACCGTGGAGAAACAGGCTGTTGCAAATTAAGGGCAGTCTCATCCGGAGGCTTGGATGAATCTGGACAAGGTCCCCGGTTTGATTTCGGCCAGGTCCGAAATGTCTGTGAGGAAAGCAGCCCCGAGAAAACGAAGACGACGATTTCCAAGGGCCGGGCAGTGGCAGAAGAAGTGGGGGACCGATTCCTCCTCTTCCTCGTCGCGACAACTCCTGCAGAAGTCGTTATGAGGGATTGACAGTCTAGAGGCATGAGTGCCAATCTGCCAGTGTCCCGTAATGGCTAGAGTAACTGCAGAGCACTGTGCTCTGCTGAGCCTATACAGCTCGGCTGAGCGCTTCTTCGATCGATATGGCCATATCAATCTTGAGATTTTACAGGAAACTGTTTGCTGCCATCTCCTATTGGCATTTTGCTCGAACAATTCGTGCGTGAGGAGCCTGCACGTAGCCAGAGGCATCGCTACCTGCTCCCTCTCCATAAGGAGAGGAATTGTAGTACCCTGCCTTGCTAGCTCGTCGGCGGCGTCGTTCCCCTCGATGTCCCTGTGGCCTGGGACCATATAAGAAAGAGGTCTAACTGATCTGCGATCACGTTCAGAGACCTGCGGCAGTCATTTACAGTCGCTGAGTTCGACGATATTGAGCCTAGAGCTTTAATAGCTGCTTGGCTGTCCGAGAAAACGCACACTAAGTGCGTGTCTAGAAATAGTTTGGAGACGATGGAAATGGCCTCCTTGATGGCTACAACCTCCGCTTGGAACGCACTGCAGTGGTCCGGGAGCCTGAAGCAATGACTGATGTTCAGCTCGCTGCAGTAGACTCCGCCTCCCACGCGGCCGTCTAACTTTGAGCCATCAGTGTAGAAGTGAGCCGCATTTGCGGGTCCTGGTTCGCCCATCTCCCAGTCCTCCCTAAGTGGGATTGATACCTGGAAAGGCGTCGAGGGGTGATCACTAGGGACACAATAATGGATATGTTAATTAATTAATTATATTTTTTCTTTTTACACTTTTTTTTAAACCTACATTCTATTTCTTTATTTTTCTTTTATTCCCGAGCATAAGAGAAGAATAAAGAAATATAATGTGAATGCCGCGAAACATTAATATAATTTCAACACAGTTTTTTTTTATAAATTTAACTTTTTATACAATTGAATTTTCTTTATTAAACAGGCGCACAACACATATTATTAATTATTTAAAAACTGCACTTACCTGATATTAATAATAATCACAGATTACTTAATTTCACTTATTAAAACTTCGTTTGACGCTTTGTTTGACAACAAATTTTTGTTTCATTATGAGCGTGGATATTACTACTACTAATTTTAAAAGACTACAATCAGCACAACATTTATTCGGACACTCGGCTATGTCAACTTTCTTTATAAATCACTTGAAAAGTATTTAAGTTTGACAACAAATTTTTATTTCATTATGAGCATGGATATTACTACTACTAATTTTAAATCTAAAAACAAAAAAAAACCTTTGGCATATCAAAAAATTAAAAGTATCAACAAGGCCACTTTTTTACGCACAACAATTATTCGGACACTTTTTATTTTGTACGAAAAAAACTGGTGCCCAATTTTTTCTGATTTCAATATTCGGTGGGGCCGCCCTTAGCTTCAATAACAGCTTTTAGACGTCGGGGCATACTTTTTACCAAATGATTTTTCTGCTCGAATTAACAGACAAGGGAAACATGTTATTGTATGGGGCGCGACCACTGTTTTACACTGTATGTGTAGCGGCAGCGCAGCAGTATCAGGATAGAGCCGTTCCCGCGCCCATACCGACCGCTGATATAGATGCTATATGTATATATCATTACCAATCACATCATGAATCGAAATCAGAACACATCCGTTTGTAAGGCAACTTCGCCTGCTA